AGATGCCTCATTAGCGACTGTTTCTATGGGCCGCTATACGTAAGCCGTCCGCCATATTCGAAGGGTCAACTTAACGTCATTCACCATTACAGCCGATGGTCTGCGAACCCTTGAGTGCGGTGGCCGAGAGAGCTCAACATGTTGTTGTGTAGACCTACTAACACCATACAACAAGAGGAGCGCATTAGCTAACTCAACATTAAAAGTTACCAATGTTTCAAAACTTGTAATATTGAGTTAATACATTTAAAAACATAACCAACACATTCTCACCTGTGAAAGGTTATCCCGTTTCTTTGGGAATTTAAATCCCGGCAGTTTTTACAACCATCGGCTGTGCAGGATTGTGGCATCTTCGAATATTCATTGATTATTATGGTGAATGACGTCAAGTTGACCGTTAAAGATGGTGGTCGCGTCTACGTGCTTGGCGCAGTCAAATGGGACAGATACATATCTATGTTGCGAACACTCACAACACGCTAGCATCATGGCCTGGAGTTCATGATGTTCTTCAGAAAAACATAAAAATCAAGTTCTTACTCCTGCCAGTTGTCTTTTAATATAGTGTTTTCCTTTTATTGTGGATCTACAAAGGCCAGTCCAGATCAGGCCATGTGATGTTGTAGTGGGCACACAGCTGTGGGGAATTACAGGCCCCACTGAAAGGCAGAAAAAAGATGAGATGAAGTGGATGAAAATACTGTTGGGCACTCCTCTAAAAATACAGCGCTGGACTGTAATTAGTGGTGGTGCGCTGAGCTGCAGCAGCTCCACAACGCCTCTAATTACCCCACTGCAGAGCCCCAGCCGTGGGTGTCAGTCCGATCTGCTGAGCTCCACCAGAACAAATGTTCCATTTTTTGTTTCCCCATCTTCTCCTGCCAATCAGCCCTCCAACATGTCTCAAGTGTCCTCACACTCACTCAACACATACGCTCCTCTGTGGTAGTTATTGTTTTTTAATTCTCTCTCTGGCCTCTGTCTCTGACCGCAGTGGAGCAGGAGAAGGATCTGCTGCAGCCTCGGCCGTACTGGAAGGAGTTCCGCTTCGATCTCACTCCGCTTCCTCAGGGAGAGACAGTCACCGCTGCTGAGTTTCGCATCTATAAAACTCTTACCGTGGGTTGGCGTGCAAACCGCACCCTCCATATCTCTGTCTATGAAATCCAGAGGGAGAAAAGACACAGGTCATAGTCATATATGATCATTTATACAGATTTGTGATACGGAATCTGATTCAGAAACTAGATATCATTTGATTTTAGTGATTAGGAAGCAAGAATCCTTGACATTAAATGACATTTTAGTAGTTTTTTGTGCATTCATCAATGTCACTGAGATCCATTGTCGGTCATTATGATGGAAAAGACATTAAGCTCTTGTGATTTGACAGGGAGCCTGAGCTGGTGTTGTTGGACATGCAGTCTGTGCCGGCGGGTCAAGAGGGTTGGCTGGCATTTGATGTGACTTCTGCGAGCAATCGCTGGCTTCTCCACCCTCGGAGCAACTTGGGCATCCGCCTTTATGTAGAAACTGAGGAGGGTGAGCTATTCCTTATGTACAGCATGGAGGCTAAATAGCACTGGTAGCATCATTGGATGGTGCTCCTCACTACGGGTTTGACACCATGTGACACCTAAAAAATAATAATAGTCTTTGCAACTTTACAGATCTTCTTTATGCACCAAGAGCTTGTAACACTCCAAAGTGAAAGGAAAACTTGAAATCGCACCATATGACCCCTTTAAAATAAATACAGAAATTACAAAAATAGAGATAATACATAATCTTTCATTTTTACTTTTATTTTTAATATATAAAGTAAAATATACTATAAAAATATTAATAAATAAACTTTTTTGGTCTTGACTAATTTTTTTTTTTTCTGCCTTAATTGCCCCACCTAACTTGATTTAACTTGGTGTTTTTAATTTTAGTTTTCAATCTCAATACCATTTGTGTTTTTAAACTCAATTGCTCATTGTAGCCTTCTTCTAGTTTAAGCAGTAGAGCATGGCGCTATCAATGTGTATCAAGCTGTAATCTGAGTTCAATTCTGAATACCTTGAATAGAGTGTACACAAGTAGCTTTGGATAAAAGTGTCTGCCAAATGCATAAAAAACTAAAATGTTTACAATAATTAAATATATTGTTAAACATTTTCCTGCAACTCCTACTACAAATCTTGTCTGATTTATCTTTAGACCAAGTCTCACAAAAGTTACTGAAGGAGTTTTTGATTTTTGCAAACCAACTGGTACTGAATTCTGCTCTAGCAAGCAACAAACATTTGGTCTGTATCTTGGCAAAGCTTTGACCTATTGAAGCAAATCACGTTCAGTGTCATAGGTCATATGGTAAAACACTGAAATCTTGTTTTCACAGACCGGTCGTTGTCAGCCGCATGGGTGGGTCTGGTGGGTCGGCGCGGGCCGCGCTCTAAACAGCCTTTTATGGTGACGTTCTTCAGAGCCAGTCAAGCCCCTTGCCGCCCACCCCGTGCTTTGAGACACAACAATCCACGCAAGAAAAAACCCAAGTACGACCTGCCACACCCAAACAGACCCGGCATATTTGGTGAGCCACAATAAGCAGTTTAAGAGGCAGATTGTGTTTAAAGGACCATATGAAATGATTTGTCATTGAGTTGCGATTGTCTCACTTATTCCAGACCAAAATCATGCCAGCAGCGGACGCCAGGCCTGTAAGAAACATGAACTCTATGTCAGCTTCAGCGACCTTGGCTGGAAGGTGAGACATCCTGGCTTTCATACATTTGCACATTCAAACAACAAACAAGAAGTTAAATAATAAGTCACTTACATTTTAGACACAGTATTGAAAATTGATCTGTACATTTTTGCTCTGCCAATGGAAAAAGTTCTTAAGTTAAAACACAATTAACTGAATCAAGTGTTTTTGAACGAATCAACTGAGTGAATGATTCAGTGACTCACTTGTCGCCACCTACTGGCTCATTGATATAACCTGCAGAAAGAGTCACTGAACAATCCACACTATTAATGTTTTGAACAAACACATACAAACATTATCTCTGTACTGTTAGAGTGTTTAAATATTTAATTTCTAAAATTATTTTTTCAGGACTGGGTTTTGGCCCCTACAGGTTATTCTGCATATTATTGTGATGGGGAATGTGATTATCCTCTGGGCTCTTGTATGAATGCCACAAACCACGCCATGATCCAGCTGCTGGTACGTAATCTGACTTTTGACATTTCTGTATGTGATTTTCTGAACTACAATGCCAGGAGACTTCTTCGAAATGTACTGACTCTTTTGGCAGGTTCATCTTCTAAGACCAAATGAAGTACCCAAAGCCTGCTGCGCTCCAACCAAACTCAGTCCCATCTCTGTGCTCTTCTATGACGACAACAACAATGTTATTCTCAAGAAACATCGAAACATGGTGGTCAAGAATTGTGGCTGTCTATAACCTGTTGTACATTCAAGCTTTAAATCTGAAACAAATGTAGATGTACTATAATATTCAGAGGCACCATTTGTAATATACAGTGATTCAAAATTGATTTAGCCAAATTTGAGTGTTCTTACCCGTCCCAAATGATTGACAAATGATAGTTATTGAAGTGTCATGATGGTTTATCAGCATAATTTTCACAATTTTATTGTGAGGGGATTTAAGATTGGAATCCATCCTATAATAATAATAATAATAATAAAAATACATATTTTGTATAGCTGTCTTACATTTAAATTGTCCAAGTTTTAAATTTTATTTATTTATTTTTGCAGTCAGTAGTTTGGTGCTAATTTAAATGGTCGGTCCTTAATCATTTCATTTAACCCTTTCCTCTCTGGTGTATTGATTTCAAAAACAAGTTCAGAACATGAATCTTGAGTGTTTTAGCTTTCAAATGATGCATAGTTTATGATGAATATTTTTATAAAACAAAGGTAATTAAAAGTACAGATATGCCTAAACACGCTCTTCCGGCCTGGCCCGTGCAGGTTAAGAGGTTAAAAAGCTTCACACATTAAAGGAATAGTTCAACCAAAAATGAAATTTCTGTCATCAATTACTCACCCTCATGTAATTCCAAAATTGTATGAGTTTTTTTTTTTTTTTTTTCAGTCGAGTACAAAAGATATTTTGAAGAATTTCCAAAATACTACGGAAGTCAATGGCTACCGTCAACTGTTTGGTTATCCATGTTCTTCATAATAACTTTTGTGTTCAGCAGAAGAAACAAATTCATACAGGTTTGGAACTTGAGTAAATGATGAGAACTTTTATTTTGGGTACTACCCCTGAAGTAAGTTTTTGTGAAGACTTTGCCTTGTTAAAATGATGTCGGAGAGAATCCTCACACTCATTGGCTGCGGCCTCTGGAGATGCGCTAGTAGTGTTGTGTAGTTTGGTGATGCCAAATAAGAAGATTAGATAATAAAGGAACAGCTTATTATAGTGCTTTGTCAACAGAGACAAGGGGAGAATCAGTACCTGTACGGCCGAAGAAGCAGAAAATATTTGAAAACAAAGACAAAAAAGAATGTAAACTTCGCTAATATAGCATCCACAATGTGGAAAGATTTAATGACAGAGAACAGGAATAGTGATGCCCAAGTTGCTTCCCTCCTTTTGGACGGGTAAGAGAATTTTTTTGTGTGTAAACCGCTCTATGAAAACAGTATCAGTGTTAGTTCCGTCAAACTGAGACGATCATGCTGATCGACGTCAATACTGTCTAACACCATTGTTGTATCAGTGCTTAATCAGCAATGAAAATTCTAAGTAAACAACTACTGAGTGCAGTTTTAATACAATAAGTAGGCTATTTGTTAACCAAATTGCCTTTATGGTTTTGTAAATAGTGTGGAAAAAATCCACTGCTAAAAAGCTATTTTCACGTTTACAGTTATAATAGATACTATTACAGCTTTTCACAAGTGTCAGGTTAATAAAAGCCGTGCTCTTGATGTTCTTTCTAGTAACCATGACACACATATGGGACTATATGCATAAACATTTATTGAAAACTTTAGAAAACAAAGTAACAAAAGCATGTCCGTGGGTCCTGACTCAGATATTATTCTGACTGCTTGAACAGGTGCAAATTTACAGCATTTGTGATTATTTTGAGCATGTCAATGCATCTCAATCCCAATCCTGGTCAGTACTATTAATAATACACACATTGGTGCCCCTCTCCATTTTGGTTCACAGCAAAAAGATCAGGGCACATACATTTTTATACATTGCAGCACCTAATCATTTTTTTTCAAACTTTACAGGGACGAAGTGCCACGGGGTATTGGGAAAGTGGTGAATAAATATGGCGAGTTTAAGCACATGGCAATGAGACGGTTAGGTCACAGCACACTTTGAAAAGATGGAAGAAATATGCACATATAAAAAAATAAAAAAAAATATATATATATATATATATGTGTGCTGGTGTGCTTGAGTCCGTCCTAAGATCTCCTTGTCATTGTGTCCACATGGTCCACAGTCTATGTTTGTGAAATACAGCAAGTCGAGTCAGTCGGCTGAGTCGAATCATGTTTCATTCCTCAGGGTCTGAAAATTGGACCATAATTATGAGATGACTACACAGCCATATTGACAGGTGTACATACATTTTGTCGGTTTATTTTAGGCTTGATTCTGACGCCTGTATTAGACTCACCCCTGTTTTAGGTCCATGTTGGCTTCTTGTGTCCTTTAGGCTTGAACATCCACCAGCTCAGGGGGCATAGGAGATTTTGGGTGTTTGCTTTCAAAATGCTGTTTAAAGGTCTTTGGGTCTGGCATCTGTGTCTATACAAGGAATAACAACATACCTTAAGACGTTAAGAGAAGTTTGAGGTACAGCGGCTCAAACCAGTGACCTTCCGGCCGTAACTTAAGTCACATCAATTTCTCACCTTGCAGACAGGACATGTGTGGACCAGCGCTGCTTTGGCTGCAGTCTTCTGATCCGCTCCTTGAGCTTTCTTCTTCTCAGCTGCTTTCTTTGCGTTCTTCTGTTGAGACTGGATCTTCTGCTGCCCACGAGCCATGGCCTTCTCTGAAACACACGCATCGGGCATACCGACTCACTCAAGAAGACACTCTCGGTCAGCTTTCATTGCGTCTTTCGTTCCATGAAGTGACTGGCAACAGACTGAGGAAAGTCATAGGTTTGAAACAACATGTAGACGAGTAAATGACAGAATTTTCATCTTTGGTTGAATTATTCCTTTAAAATATGCCTAAAAGCGACAACTATCTGATTTACACGAGTGAAATATATAGGACCAATCTGACAACAGGGTTCATCAGAAAATAAACCATCGTAACGATATAAACGTTAAAATGTTATACATATTTATAATCTATGTATAAAACGTGTTAAGAAATGTATAAATGACGACAAGTGTCTTCCCCAGGAAGTTTAGTTTGATAAAAAACTAAAATCACAATAGAGACCGCATTAGCTAGTAACGTTAGCTCATCCGCCTTATTCAAAACTGATCTAAACCGTGTAGTGGACAAAATTAATATAATTTTAATAATTATATTAAAAATAATAATTATTAACCATAAACAGTTTAAAACAACAAACATGATATTTATAAGGTGAAATGTGGTAGATTGATCAATATTTAGGGACAATACCTCGGCGTTAAGACACGGTAGGACGTGAAGCTCAACTGACGCGATTCTGACTTCCGTCAGAAGCACTTAAATGATATAATAAAGGTTTTCCTCAACTGCTCAAACTGATAAGATGATGATGATTTAAATAAATTATCCTGTTCAGGCCCGAGATGGATAAGTTGATTGAGTACTTTTATTTATTTATTTATCTTAATTGTATGTATCACTTTGTTTTGAAGTTGTTTTGGAGTATTCTCAAACAAAAATGAACGAGGCTAAATAAATGTTGTAATATAGTCTCTGTGCGTAGTGATAATGGGAGAAACGGAGCTGTCTGAATCTGTAAATCAAAATAATCAATTGATTCGAAAAATGATTTTCTATTTCGAAGCGCTCGAAACACCACTGAGGCCATCTGCTGGTCACATATATGTTAATGCAAAGGAAATACTCACTACTACAATCATAGATATGTATACAATGCTAGGGAATTTCTGCCACAATCTACATATTGTATTTACACATTTCTGAATCTTCGCAGAATATGTACATTTTAAAGTATGAGAAATATAGTTGTTTTAAATAAAATTTGTGTTCATGCTAATACAATAGTCGTGTTTTTTTATATAATTGTATTACTCAGAAACGTACGAAACAATTAAATGTCTTTGATACAGAAAGAGTGATCTGTTATCTGTTCAGTTTGTACACTTTTATTTTGACGAGTGTGTTCACAAAAAGGTGTCGGAAGTTGTTTTGATGTACTTCCGTAGCTAAAGACAAAAATGGCAGAACGAGGATACAGTTTTTCTCTCACAACATTTAGGTAATTATGTGCATTACTGATTGATAGGTGGCTGTAATATTTCATTATAAATCTTTTGTTGCTTGCATTCACTGAAAATAGTTGTGTTTTGTTCAACATGTGCGTTACGCGTATTTAATTGTGTGTCACATCATAGATGCAGTGTCACGATGTTAGTTACTACGGAGCTTTATGATTTTTGTTCATTTTTCTCTATTAGTGCATTATTTTTTTTACTTAAGTTATTTATTGTCATGTTTTACTACAGATTTTGTGGCGAATATTATTCATTTTTAATCCATTAATCTTTTGTGGTTTGTGCAATATTCAGTGACCTAATATAAAAAAGTATGTAAAAGTTAGTATGAAGCTTTTGTTAAAGCAAAAAATCTGTCAGTTTTAAAATTATTAAAATAATTATGGTGAAATTATTTAAAATCAAAATGATGTGCATCTGAATTGGTCGAAAATAAGTTATACATTCAGCTTCAGTTTAGATACATTTCAAATGTATTTCTGTAAAACTAATGCATTTTTTTTCTTCAACACAGCCCCTCTGGCAAACTGGTGCAGATTGAATATGCTTTGGCGGCTGTAGCAGCCGGTGCTCCATCTGTAGGAATCAAAGGTATGTTTATATATAGATCAGTCTTTGTTACCTTTTTAACCCATGCTGAGTTTGCATCCCTGAGGTATGCTGCACTTCAGTCGTAAATTTGTTTTGAAGGACCTTTTGTCATTTTGCAGCATCAAATGGAGTTGTGCTGGCAACTGAGAAGAAACAGAAGTCCATACTGTATGATGAACAGAGCGTGCACAAAGTTGAGCCAATAACCAAACACATTGGCATGGTGTACAGTGGAATGGGTCCGGACTACAGGTATGAAATAACAGTGCAGTATTTATTTAAAATGGATGGCTGATTTGTTCTAAAAATGAAACTCTTAAAGGAATAGTCCACCCATAAATAGAAATTCTGTCATTATTTACTTCCTCCATGCTGTTCCAATTAACCTATATAACTAAGATATTTTGAAGAATGTTGGTAACCAAGCATTTTTGGTTTCTAAATTCCATTCACAAAAAAAAAAGAACAGTACTGTTAGGTTACTAACATTCCTCAAAATATATTCCTTTGGCTATCTCACTGACAGCTTAAGTTGCTATGATCTAGATGGTCTGTAGGGAATGATCTCTCTTGACAGGGTGCTGGTCAGAAGAGCAAGAAAGCTGGCGCAGCAGTATTTCCTGGTATACCAAGAGCCAATCCCCACTGGCCAGCTGGTACAGAGAGTGGCTTCTGTTATGCAAGAATACACACAGTCAGGGTACGTTCACTTCTTTTTATCTTTTATTATACTTTACTTTAATTAGAGCTCTTGTGGTAATTTAGTGTCATATTTTCTAGAGGTGTGCGGCCATTTGGAGTCTCTCTTCTCATTGCCGGTTGGGATGAAGACAGACCATATTTATTTCAGTCAGACCCATCGGTACAACAAATAATTATCAATCACAACCTTTTCATCACATTGTTTATTCTCTATTCAACATGCAACCATTTATGTTGTAAACTCATGTCTCAATGGTGATATCCCACAGGGAGCATACTTTGCCTGGAAAGCCACAGCAATGGGAAAGAGCTATGTCAATGGAAAAACATTCCTTGAAAAAAGGTATCAAATAATCAACTTGTTGACTTATGCAGGTTGATTTATTGTAGTGTATAAGATAGAAAAAGATGGGAATGATTTTGCTAAAGATTTACAGCATGGCTTTGTACAATTTCATTACAGATATAATGAAGATCTGGAACTTGAAGATGCTATACACACTGCCATCTTAACTTTGAAGGTGAGTTTATCTCTAAATAACTATTAACTTCCTATATCACATGGCTCAAAACAAGATCAATAGCATTTTTTTTTTCTTACAGGAAAGTTTTGAAGGTCAGATGACAGAGGAAAACATTGAGGTGGGCATCTGTAATGAAGCAGGATTTCGCAGACTGTCACCTGCTGAGGTGAAGGATTACTTGGCAGCAATTGCTTAAACTACAGCACTGCAACTGCTTACACAGTTTACTATTTTGGTTTGGTTGTTAATTTGAATGTTGCAGTTTTATTATTTGTACATCTGTGTAACTGATTTCTTTATAAAAGGATACATATTATCAACAAATGTTACATCCTGCTTATTTCACTGGCATTTCTTTCTGTGATTTTTGTACCTGACTGTAATTATGAATCACCTTTTAAGGTGTGTGATCTGAAGTGATCTATTAGTAAAAAAAAAAAAAAAAGAATTTGACAGGCAAAGGATATGCATTTCAAGACCCGCTTCGTCACAGTACTGTCCTTGCTAATGGGATCTTTCCCCGAGGCTATGTTCATGCCCATTTTTCAACATAAAGTGTTGGCATAAAGAAAAAAAAATTACTTCACTCCAAAGTGTTGAACAAAGTCTGAAAGGTTGTAAACCTCTCCATATCCCACTCGAGCATCCATGCAGATGAAGTGATCAAGATTCATTTTCGATTCTGTGAAAAGAACACATACAGTGTAAGAGGAAGAAGAAATTATGATATTATTACTCGGTGTGTCCTTTTATCTTACACCTTTAACCCTTTGATTATTCAGGTAGGGTAAGGATAGTCAAATCTAGCCTAAACCATGAAGTACTCAGCAGCCGGCAGGTTAAAGTTCTTCAGGAATGACTCTTAAGAGTTTAAGTTTAGAACTCGTAGCTTAGCTGATTTTGTTTTATTTTTGCATTAACTGCTTTGTATTGTAACTAATAAAATAGATTTTATTGTTACAACTCCTTCCCCTGAGACTTTACTTATAACTACAAACTGAGCCTCAAACAAGAACAACCACAAGGGGGGAGTCTTCTACGTCATTCCTGAAGAACTTTAACCTGCCGGCTGCTGAGTACTTCATGGTTTAGGCTAGATTTGACTATCCTTACCCTACCTGAATAATCAAAGGGTTAAAGGTGTAAGATAAAAGGACACACCGAGTAACAATATTTACAGAAGTATGTGCCAAATTAACAGACCACTCATTTTACAACAACCTGATGTCTCTAAACATGGGTATGGTGGGGGCGGCATACGCCAGTTCCCGTCAGAGTCCTTCATATGTGACCGATCAGAAGCAAACTTCTTCATGTAGATGTCGCCTGGTATGACACGAAGTTTCCTGAAACACAGCAGATAACCATTGATATGGCTAGTATTATACAATTTTTGATAAAATGCAGTTCAGATCAGATCAGTTCGTAACTTGCCTCCAGAAAGCAGGTTTTAAATGCTCATCAGAACGAAAGGCCTCCTTTGAATATACATCAAGTAAGCAAGGGAAGGGAAGGATGGTGTCTAAATCATATATATAGCTCTGTCCTTGTTTATTTACGTGTAGAAGAATAACATGGTAATCCTAAAGGCAAGTGCACAAAAAAATCTTATTAGTAAGAGTTTAGTTTAAAAAAAAAAACTCGATGTTTATTTTTCCTTATTAAAAATTGCTCTTACCCAGATTACTGGTTGATCCCCTCGACTGGATTTTTGTTTCCAAATGGGTATCTGTATTAATTGTAAAATTACACATTTATAGAAATTATACAGTACACTAACATCAATATTATATACGCACAGATACATTAATCAGCCTCACCATTTTTTTTTCATTAGATATAAAGACTGCATACACTTCATCCAACGAGCAAGTGCCCTGATCATTGACACATTCACACAATTTCCACACATTCTCCTCACTGCAAGAAAAAATGAATAAGTAAATAAAATAAATATTGTTCATTTAATAAAAATGTAGCTACTGATGCGACATCGTTACACTTACCAGTAACAGCTGGTGTATACACACTGGTTTCTAGACGGAGTGATAATTGTATATTCAGACGGGGCGCTTTCTGCGTTCATTCTTTCCATTCACATGCTATACTGTGATGTCTTTTGATTATAACGACATTAAGAAGAAAAAAAAAACAGTATAAACAACACTAAAGCGATTCGCGTTGTAATCGTACAGTATGTGTTTGTTACAGTTTACTTTGTCCGTAAGGAACTTTAGACAGGTTTGTCGTTCCGGTGCGTCAATGAAGTGATGCGCGAACATTTAGTCCTCATGTGAATGCAATGTGCACGATTATCACTATAATTGTTGAACGAATTGCTAGTTAAAAGCACGATTAGAAAACACGTTAGCGAAAGATAATGTGCAATTAGACATCTCTTTCAGTTTCATATAAAAACTGTTAATGGGTTAAACCAACCCAATTCTACATTTTCACAACAAAGATGTGTTTCTCTTATTACCTGTGTTAGACTACATAGGCCTACTGTTTAAAAGTTTGGGGGTCACTAAATCAAATAGCCTACTTTAATTTTTTTAACAGCTGCATTAAGATAACCGTATGATTATCTTACCGTATGACAACCGATGATATTTATAAATGCTGTTCTTTTGAACGTTTTATTAAAGGAATCTTGAATGTTTCACGGTTTCCAAAAATATTAATCAGCAAGAAAAATGTATAATCAGATAAGATAACAAATTATTAAGCTGCAAATCAGCATAGAATGATTTCTAAAGGATCATGTGACACTGACTGAAGACTAATGATGCAGAAAATTCAGCTTTACCATCACAGGAATAAATTAGAATATATTAACAGAACATTCTTAAATTGAAATAATATTTCACAATTTTACTGTATTTTGATCAAATAAATGGAGCATTAGTGAGACATTAGTTAGGGGAAAAAATATTTTGAAACTTTAAGCTCACAATTCGGACTTTTTGCTCAGAAATACGAGATTATATAAATCAGAATTGTGAGATTCAGAATTAACTTTTCTATTTTTTCTGTGGCGAAAACAAGCGTGGTATGGCCTTTAAAGACACCTGATTCAACAGTTAGATCATTGACATTATCTATTCAAATTGTATAACTAATTTGAATGTAAAATTTGGTATATAAAAAGCACTGTGACGGGGTCATGTTGAAATAGCTTATTCAAAACATAGGTTTGATAGTAAACAACAAATAATTCTTTATTTCTAAAATATTATCAGAAGTTGTCTTCTTTATTCTTATTTCATTAAATTAAATAACGTAAAAGGCTCTAGCCTTTTAGCATAGCCTACTGAATGAACTTTACACTGTGGGCCTGTTTAATTTGGGGTGAAAATACATTCCACCACTATTTGCACTATTGCATCTATTATTTGGACCGTGAGTGGTTACCTAATTTGTATAAAACAAAACCGGCCCAATGTTTTAGGCTGTTATTTTTTAAATACAAAGTAAATCAACAATTAACCTAATTCTTGTTGCAAGTAACTGCCAATGAATGTTTTTTAGAGGAATAGCCTAAGAAACCGCCCCGCCATTAACACCTCGTTTTTATGAACAGCACTTACTGATGGAATGCAACACCTTTAGACCCATTGAGAGCTACATCATGGATATAAATGGGGCCTGATCTTCTCAGTCTTCAGTCTGAGTCTGGACCAGGAGCTCATCATGACTAACAACAGAGTGAAAGGAGGATTCAGCGGTTTGCTGGCAGAATCAAGCGGCGTTCCGAGAAGGAGATACAAAAGATACACTACAGGAACTTACATCGGACTTATTGCGTATGCAATTCAAGATTCACCAGACAAGATGCTCACATTCAAACAGGTAACATAACCGACTAAAAAGTCGTAAATGTGCTAAATATTAGACTTTGCAGTCTTGTCTTACATTTCTATGACGTATGCTAACATCCTTTGTGCAGATAATGAAAAAGCTGGAACCATTTGTTCTCGGAGACAAAAAAGGCATTGAGAACAACATCAGAGTCTGTCTTTCATCAAACAGGTGTTTTGTAAAGGTGAGTTTATTAAATTTAGTCAATTTTGAGGCAACGAATTACAATTCATGTGCATAGGCTAATGTTAGTAACAGTCTGTTCTATTTTTGTTTGTATTTTTAATAGGTTCCAGTCGATCCGGATTATCCAAATCCTAAAAAGAACTTCTGGAAAGTGGATGAAAATGGCATTACTCCAAAAATGTTTCGCCGACATTTCAAATATCTAATCAACATATTCCCTGGCCTGTCGATTCAGACACAGCAGGTGGATGAGTGTGAAGACAATTCTTATGCTCCTGAGCCTCTTATTCCAGTCTGCAAGGTCACAGAAAACAAAAGTGAAGGCAAATTTACAGGCCCCTTTTCCATAGAATCATTATTGAAGAGCGACCGCGAAGTGAAGCGTTTGGAGGAGCATCCACACTACACAGACGCACAGCTTGGAACGAGCAAGAGAAAAAACGTTTATGAATATGAAGCCGTGAAGTGTTATTACCCTGTTTCAGCGGTAGGAAGTGAATTGGCCTCAGCGAAAAGACCTCGTCTATCTTCAGGACCTCAGTTCGGACAGTTTCTGCCTCCACATGTCACATATGATCACCATGTTCTCTTCAGCTCTCCTTTAATGTATGATATTAGATATGCCAGGTGGTAAACAGCCAGAATGACCACATGTAAATATGAAGAAATCGCACTTTATTTTTGTTGTTGTTGTTGTTTTTTTAAATAAAAACAATATTTTTTCCCCCACATTAATTGTTTACTTTGATTACAGATAACTTATCTATAGTTTTATTATATAGCTCTATATATAGGATATACAGTCAAACCAAAATTTATTCAGACACCAGATATAATTTTTTATATTTTTTTACTAGTGGGTGCAGGACACTATATTTCATTTATGTAAGTGAGGATAGCAAAATAAAGTAAACTGTGACATAGCCAAAAATTCTTCATGGACTACCAGTAAAATTTCTCAAATTTGGGACCAAAAGTTATTCAGACACTTCAGAATCAGAATCAGAATGAGCTTTATTGCCAGGTATGTTTTCATGACAGAAGCTTCCGCAGTGCAACAGAATGACAGCGACAGTACAAAAACACAGATAATAAAAGAAGAATAAAAAAATAAAAAATAGAACAAGTAAATAAGAAATAAAAATATATAAATTGACAATTGTATGTGCAGGTATATTACAATAAGACAGTTTTGTATGTACAGGTATATTATGTGCAAATTTGAGGTGTAGACTAAGTGTGTGTGTTAGATAAATAAGTGTATGAGTGTATTAAAAATAGAACAAGTAAATAAGGAATAAAAATATATAAATTGACAGTTGTATGTGCAGGTATATTACAATAGACAGTTTTGTATGTACAGGTACTGTATATTATGTGCAAATTTGAGGTGTAGACTGAGTATGAGTGTATAAATAGTGTGTGTTCCACAGTTATTGTCAAGTGTTCATGAGATGGATGGCCTGTGGGAAGAAACTGTTCCTGTGTCTGGTCGTTCTGGTGGTCAGTGCTCTGTAGCGTCGACCAGATGGCAACAGTTCAAAGAGGGAGTGTGTTGGATGTGAGGGGTCCAGAGTGATTCTGCCAGCCCTTTTGCTCATTCTGGATGAGTACAGTTCTTGAAGAGAAGGGAGGGTTGTACCAATGATTCGCTCAGCAGTCCGGACTACCCTCTGTAGTCTTCTGAGGTCAGATTTGGACCTGATCACTTTGACCTGACCATGTTTTGCTTAAGTATTATCTGATAATATCAAGATTAATTTGTTCTGGCAGAGTTTAACTCTGAGTTCTTGTCATATTTTATTACCATTTTCTAAACTATAGCGAATAAACTGTGATAATGTGTGAAATGTTGAAGGTGTCTGAATAAATGTTGGTTTGACTATATATATATATATATATATATATATATATATATACATACATTTATAGAATATCATTATTTACAATAGGTAACATTTGGAGCACACCCAAAGGACCCATAGGAGTCTACACATTTTATTAAAAAAAAAAAGTCTTGATGTACTTGTTAGGTTAACAGGTGAACCTAAATCAATCCCAAACATTCACAAAACATTTAAAAAAGTGAGATTTCAGAATACAATGTATTTCACATAGGCTACATTAGCATTAACATAATGTTTGTTCTCGTCAAGCAAAACAGGTCGATCAGTAAATCGGTGATTAGCACATCATCCAAGATAATGTTCACATAATAGTGGAGCTACTTTCCCTTCAAAAGCATGTTTGCTTAGCGCTACAAGGTTTATTTTCGCATTTGCCACGGGGTGGCGGTAAAATGTTCAGGTTGGGTTTTGATGTAAATCTCATTAAAGCATCTAAAGAAAATTGACTTAATTCATTAACAATAGGGTATACCTAAACACGGGAAGTATAAATATAGAAGTATAAATTAACTAAAATGTATGTTATTTCTAATTATCTAATTTCTAGTCTTTTAAAAGCTGATGTCAATTTTGACCTGTTTTGTGAAACCAATAACTTTGATGGCTTGAAACCATTTTGGTCTAACATGTTTTCACTGTTCCCAAATAACACCATGATTCTGCATTATTTACCCAAAACACACACTATAAAAAAAGATTTTCAGAAGTTTTAAATAAAACAAAGATTACTATAAATGTCTGCTATAAAAACATTAGATCTTTTTCAAAACAAATCAAATAAAAATAAATAATATCGTTTTAGTAATTAGTAGGCCTATATATATATATATATATATATATATATATGCATGTATACATACATACATACATACATACATACGGTGGGTATAGAAAATAATCATATAACACCAACATGTCAGAAAAAAACAAACAAACCAGAATCACTGAGTTGTAAAAAGGACCACCACCCTCCTAAAATATATATTCCCTTTGTTTAGGTCTATATTGTTCATGAATTAATAAGTCAACGTAAGTCAATTTTGGCCTGTTGCCTTAAAGTTTCAAAGTCAAAAGCATTTAATAGTTTTTGAGGTAATTTCAGCTATATACTATACTATAGCTAAGATACTATACTAATTTAAATAACGGTGCAACAAATTTACAGCAGTAACTTTGATGGCTTGAAACCTTTTTTGTCTAACAAATTTCCACTGTTCCCAATAACTCCATGATTCTGCATTATTTACTCAAAACACATTGTAAAAAAAAAAGATTTTCTGTAGTTG